GTGCAAGGAACGCACGTAAAGAGACCGGTGGAGAAGCCTTGTTGACGAAGCAGGGCGTCACACATGGCGGCTGTGCTGCCCTTGCCCTTGCTGCCAGCCACATGAATGATGCGCATGCGTGCCAAATCCTCATTCTGCCTTGACGGGCACAGATGGAGCCCGTGAGTTTGTGATGAGTGCAAGAGTTGGCTATTTGAGTGTGGTGCGTGCGGTGGATGGGGCGTGAGCGTTGATCGCACCGTAATGTTGAGGCGGCGCATATAGTCGCGCGTCTCGGGGAGGGAGCGGGTCAAGTCACGTCCTCCCGATTTGCTACTGGCGTGGTCAAACGGAAAGGCATGTAGACCAAAGCACGGCGCGACAGTGTCAAAAAAAGATTACAGGCAGCATGGCAGAAAAGCAAGGCAAATAACGGCGCACCGTTGCTTCTCGAGCTCGGCTGCATTGTATTGAGAGCCTCAACGGCTTCCTACCAAGTTTATCAAGTTCATTAAATTAGCACAGCCACGCGCGCGCACACACACACACACACACACACACACACACACTCATGCGAGATGGTGGAGTAGAGTCAATTGGTTGAAAGTTAGGGTGCACGAGGGAGTCTCAGGAGGTTGACAGACTGACCTGGTAGCTCCGGGACATGGTGCCGATAAAGCGACGGCAATCGCACGGTACAGCGGTCAAGCCCCGAGACGTCCTTGCCACGCTCCAAACAGGTGTCGCGGCAACCGTCGACGACACTGCCGGGCTGGAATAAGACACGGCGCGTTGCTAAACTTGAATGGCTCGCCGCCCTGTGTCACGTGCCACGCGGCCAAAAACTTGTCGAGGCAGCGCGATTGCCCGAGCCAAACAGCTGCTCCTCATTCGCGAGAGCATGAGGTTCCCCTTTGCCGTGAGCACACACACGCACGCACGCACACACGCACACACACTCACACTCACACACAACGCTTTGACTCGATCACCCTGTGCCCGCAATCAGCGCGCGAGACGAGAGAGAGAGAGAGAGAGAGAGAGCACAGCGTCGTGTTGTGAAATAAAATTGGAACAGAGAGGGAGAGAGTTGGAGAGCAGCTAAAAGAGAGAGGCGAGATGATTGCTGAGATGAAAGAGAGGGAAGAGATGAATAGTTAGCAAATTAGAGAAGCTTTCTGAAACATTCTTAATTAAGAGACAAGGAGAGGTTTCGAAGAATCTTGCAGAGAGAACATTGTAAAGTCAAGTGCATTCAGAGGTGGAATACGGCAAAGAGAGATAACAGAGGGCACAAGACAGCTAGAGAGTGATGACACAACACGAGATGATGATAATACGATCTCGCACACATTTTGTCCTGGCTCTGCTCAGCTCCAATCTCTTAAAAAAAGACGGGAATGGGCAGGAAGAGGCGTCTTCCAAAGCCATGCATACAAATGTCATATCAACAGGTTGGTCCATCCACACAGGAACGATGGAGCCCTATTCGGGTCTTTCGATCAAGTATGGGATGCGGCCATGGATCACCACTGACACGCTCCACAATGTTGATCAAGCGAGGAAAATGAATTAGAGTTTGAGAAAGGTCTTGAGGCCATCCTCGTCCTCGATGGCATCAAGAAAGTCTTCAAAAGAGCCCAGCCACTGGTCTTGGTTGAAGAGCTGGGGGACAGTGGCCTTGTCGTCGCCCATCTTCTCTCGCATCTCCTTCAGTGCTTCACGATTGGAGGAGATGTCAATCGTTTCGTGAGGAATCTTGTGGCCCTCAAGAATCATCTCAATCTTTTGCTGTTTCTTGCGGATCTGCGTATGACGTGGTCGGCCAGTCAGCAGCGATGAGTCGGGTGTTCGAGCGTTCGCGAGGCCGGCACGGGAAGGACTCTGGCACCACAGCAATCCAAACAGCTCTATCCATGACAAGCCAGCCTGGGTTCAAACCAGCAGACCGGGGATGGACACGACCGTACCTCAAGGCTACCCGTCACAGACGACATGTAGTACTGCAGACCAGCCATGTTGATAAAGAGGGATGCAGGCGCAAGATTCACGTTCAAGTCTTTCAGCTACGACCAAAAAAAGAAAACCAGACACAGGCCCAAGACATGGTGAGTCTGCTCCAGTATTGTTGTTGTCCAACGCCATCTCACATACGCACACAAGCCCTTCCCCCACCTCCCCTCTACCCCGCAACTGCCCCCCAGCTGCCCTCGTACACACCACACCACACGCACCACTCGCACCAACATCCACTGACCTCTTGTTGAAAAAAAATTTAAAAAGCAAAGAAGAAGAAGAAATGAAAGAAGAAAATGCCTCGAGCACCTCTCCTTTTTCTGACAATGTGTGTGTGTGTGTGTGTGCGTGTGTGTGTGTGTGTGTGCGTGTGTGTGTGTGTGTGTGTGTGTGTGTGTGTGTGTGTGTGTGTGTGTGTGTGTGTGCGTGTGTGTGTGTGTGTGTGTGTGTGTGTGTGTGTGTGTGTGTGTATGTGTGTGTGTGTGTGTGTGTGTGTGTGTTTTGCCAAAACCCCACTTGCTCATTTCATTTCTCTCTTTGACTCTCTCTCTCTCTGTGTCTCCCTCGGCGACCAGTCAGGATGGACTACCAGGGTGGCAAGAAGTTTGGAGCGCTGAAGCAGGATCAGCTCAAGCAGCTTCAAGAGCGTAATCAAAAGGTACGTGCCCATGTCGAGGGGGCAGGAATGGCAATGGGGTGGAGCTGCTGGTGGTGTCTCAACCATCATGCCAGCTGGATTTCTGGCTCCGGCCCGATCTCGATCTCTCTCTCTCTCTCTCGTTCTCTCGCGTCTTGGAACCCGCTTTGTGTGTGGACACCGTGCACACATCCCTGGGATGTCACAGAGGCTCTCGTTTCGTGTTGCCTCCTTCCTTCACTGCAGGCTCGGGCTCACCCCGTGCCATGTGCTTGTACGCTGACTAGTTTTTGACCGATGGCACCTTTGATGGCCAGGAGGACGTGGAAGAACGCCTCGAGCAGTATTGCCACAAGTTTATGGAGTTTGATGAAGATGCCAGTGGCGACATTGGTTTGTCATGGCGGGCACAACCCTGAAACAAGCTTGCCCGCCGTGGCCGCGGCCTGCACAGCCTACTCATGTCACCTTGCGCTCGGGCTTGCTGCTGCACAGATCTTCAGGAGCTGTCGCGCATGATGGAAAAGCTGGGCCAGGTGTGTCTTACCGATTTTCGAGCTCTGCTTTCTACGGCCCCTCAATTTAACACCACCGGGCAACTGACCCTAAGCCGTGCCTCACAACACCCCGTTGTCCTTGCTTTGCTCAGCCCAAAACCCATCTTGAACTGAAGAAGATGATCAAGCAGGTGGACACCAACGATTCAGGTTCGACCTTTGAGTCGCTCTTGTACAAAGAGTTCTATTTTTTTTCCCTGGCTACCCGCCTCGGCTGCTTGACCTGCGCGCTAGATTGACTCCTTTTTGCCCCTACCCTTATTCGGCCACCAAACAATTAGGTACCATCAACTACGAGGAGTTTTTGCAGATGATGTTTGGCAAGAGCAACTCAATCCTACGCATTATCCTCATGTATGAAGAGAAGAACAAGGAGAAGGAAAAGCCCAAGGGTGTGGCACCGCGCCGCTCCCTTGCTGACCTCCCCTAAATGTTGCTGGCGATCTGTGGGCTCTGTTCTGTCATTATCATGGCCGTGTAAACATCACAATCCTATTGGTGCTTCTTTCTCTTTTCATCATTCTTGCCTTTCATGAATTGGCTCATGTTCGAAACAAGGTTCCCAGACGGCCAACACCCGTGCTGCCCGTGCCCTTGGTTCCGGCATCACCCCGTACGCAAGTATCGAGACAAAAGACCGTGTGTCCTTATCAGAGGCCGGGCCACGTCACACGGACGTTCCCCGAAACATGCCCCGAAGCCTCGTCCAAGCAATCAGGTCAGTCCGATCTGTTGATTCGGAAACGAACACGGATCCCACCAGCTGGCGCTCCTAATTGGCACGTTGCGATGCCTGTACAAAATTCTGACGGATGGTATTGGCTGATGTGACGGCCACGACCAGAAACACCAATGCATCATCGGCCAACCTGGACACGACCATGGACAGATTAGGGTTGACCATGGAAGCCAGACATGCGTGCCCTCGCTCAGCTACAAGGGTGAGAAGCGTACACACGCACCCAAAAATGCCGAGAACAGCTTCGGGCAGGACGTCAAAGGGCATGATGGCGTAGAGCGCAGCCAGCACAAAACTCAGGATAACACGAAGCTAAGGACAAGAACGCATGAATGCGTGAGCTGCCACACACTTACACAACCTTCACACAAGCAAGCTTTGATCGCCACTGACATACCTTGACGAGCATTGAGACGTTTGTGGGGTCAAACAAGCTGGCACCAAACTGCCGGAGCAGCTCTGGGGCATCGGCCACGACCTCGCTCATGGATCGACGCTCGGGGCCATACCGGCGGTTGAATGCACGGACCTCCCGACTAATGGCGTCATCGCCCAGTGGTTGTTGAGAAAACAGAAAGTTGACACGCCGACGGCAGGTCGGACAGGCTCGATGGGTTCCAAAGTCACTCTGCCGCATCAGGCTATACACGCAAGCCGCTGCACTCGAGTATGATACCCGACGCACGCGCACCGTGCCAAGGCCCCAACCGTGAGCGGCCGGCCAGCCATGAGCCAACCCCACCTAGCAAAGCACCAGTCCCTGTCTTCATCCAGGCAAGACATACCACAATAGCAGTGACCACAGTTGGTGATGATGGGATTCGTGGGGGCATCCAGGCAGATGGCACAGGTGGTGTGGTCGCCGCGCTGGCTCGGGGGTTGTTCTGGTCCGCCTGTGGCAGTCGCCATGCTGGGTGGCTGGCGGGACCAGATGGAGGAAATCTTGTACGCACACCACCCAAAGACAGCCATCCACACCACGGCAATCCCCATGAAGAGGAGCGCCACCACGCCCGAAATCCCGTCCATCATGTCGGCCCAGGGCTCCAGCCAAGCACACTCGTTCCCGCACCGAGGCAATCTGCCTTGCTCTGAGTTTGGCGAGCAAAGCCGCTGATCTGACCCGTTGATCCAGTTGATTCAACCCTCCCTTTCTCCCCCCACACACACTCTTCACACCACGGGCTTAGCCTCGCCCGTTATCGTTGCGCCGGAAATGTAAAATAAAAATTTTATGCCGTCGTCGCGACACATGACACAGCGCCACCTCACACACACAAGAGTTCGCTCTCTCTCTCTCTCTCTCTCTCTCTCTAAATATCTCTCTTACATGTATTCATCTCTCTCTCTTCTCTCTCTTCTCTCTCTCTCTTGTTGTGCAACAGTTTCGTCTGACAAATTATCAAAAGCAGTTTGAGGGGCTGACCAACGAGTGGCGGCTCATCGTTGAGGGCGCTGGGGCGATGCGTGTGGAAGCTGTGCATGTATCAGTGGTGAGGCAAGCGTCTTGGAAGTGAGAACCAGTCGAGTCGGCGAAGCTGCTGGCCCTTTTGAACTGCTGGGCTGTGCTGGAGATCAAGCAAGCATGGCTGAGGCTGGTGATGCAAGCCTTGAGGCAGATCGGCTATGGACCGAGTTGACTGCCGTGTGGGGCTCGAGTAGTTGGCTGGATCGTCAGCAGCTGCTTCTGGTAAGCGCGTGACATGCCTGAATGCCCCTTTGGGAACCCGAGAAAGCAGGTCTTGTGCTCTCACACCCGTTGATGCTGGCAGGGGTTGGCTGAAAGTTTGGCTTCGCCGTTCTACGAAGAGCAACCCCATGAGCTTGCCACGCGTGTGCCCTATCTGTTACTGGCAACTATTCTAGACCCAAGTGCCGGTCCGTGTCGTGCAATGGCCCTTTCTTTGCTGCTGAAAGTGCTGTCGCACCTCGACTTTGCCAACGGTGAGTGCAGTCATGCTGCCAACGTGCTCTGCCCGTGACACGCGAATTGACCTCATGACACTTGCTGTTGAATTCATCTCTGCTCGTTGCTTGCACGACAGCCGAGTGTCAGAGTTATTTGCACGCCTTTGTCGAGCAGGTATGCAGTAACTCTTCCGCCCAAACTTTCAACCTACCACCAGCACCACACACACGCACGCACTGACTCACTCACTCACTCACACGATCCCACATGGCTCGGCGTGGCGCTTAGGCGGTGCCGCAGTGCGTCTCCAAGCCGGTATGTCCTCCTCGCCCCTAAAACCAAATACACCTGGGGGCAAACATCATTTTCACAGTCTGACTGGCCATGACTGATGTGACTCTGCCGATTTGATCGATCAAGCTCGATGAGGCCACGGCCCCCGTCCTCCAAGCATCAGCGTTGATCGCGCTCGGATTGGGGTGCGTTGGCGTCATCATCTGAAAAAACTGGAACCACGACCGCCATCTGCACGTGAAAGTGCCGCTAGCCGTTTCCTTCATTCTTGTCATGTGTATACCCTTGTCCGGCTCTTTCAGACATCGACCAATCCGCACAAACCTGAGCATGGGTCTGGCTGAGTTGCTACATACCAGCATTGAAGAGCAGGCTATTGCACAACGCTGGGTCTGGATCACGCTGGCCTGCACAGTGACAAGCGATCGTATACCCTCAGAAGCCCGTCAGTGGCTCCGCCGCGCGGATAGCCATGACCCCCTTGTGGCCATGGCCACGCTCCTTTGGCTTTGCCGGTCCGTTTCGCTGCATACACGACCCCCTGCTTCCGCAAGTGCTTGCCAGAGTGCACGTGCCCCTTTTTCTCACCCGCAATTTTTTCATACAACTACTGCACCTCTTAGCCTGGCACCAAATGAGCAACCATTCCCTGCTGAGCTGCAGTCGCTCATGCAACCAGAAACCATTCAAACGGGCTGTGCTTTGGCACTCGACTGCCTTCGCCGCCCCTGGGCCTCCACCAGCCAGGCTTGGGTTCACCACCGTCTGGCGTGAGTTACCCGCTGACCCTGACCTCCTGCTTCTTTTCTGGTTGTATGCCTATTCTCGCATCATTGCTGTCGCTGACTTTATGATAACACGTCAATCAGCACCTCAGTACTAAGTGCGGCCTTGCCTCACCTGGGTCGTGCTAATGCACCGCCCTCCCCTGTCCTGATTACGGCAATGGTCAAGGTATACCGCCCGAGCCTTACGTACAATCCCTCAACCTTGAAACAGACTCGTGTTTGTTTGCCCGTTTGTTTGTTCAGCAATCGCGCGACATTCAAGCCAAGTTTTGAAATGCCGGCTTGTTTGTTTGTTTGTTTCTCTGTGACTTTGATAGTTTTCCAAGCACGAGAGCCGCTTGGCAACGCATTTTGAGGCCTGGAGTGCCCTTTTTGGCTCCTGGCCATGGTTGCAACGTCACGGTCAAGGCCAGCTGCTCGCCCCGGTGTGTGGATTGCTCCGGACGGCATGCAAGCCCAAGTTGCAACCCCTCCCCGGCCATCTCGCCACGCTCACAATCCCTGTTTGCTGCAATTCACATCTTGGCAGCCCGTTTTGCAAGAGCTGCTTCAAGCTCAAGCACGGCTGCAGGATCCACAGTGCGTGCGTGCCCTCTTGACGTGCGTTGGACAGCTCTCTCCCGAGTGGGGCAACCCCGAGGTCTGTCAATAGGTGTATGCATTGCCCGAGCCAGCCTCGGCTTCAACGCGTGCACGACCTCATGTCCAAACGCGCACAGGCCTGGACCTGTATCTTTGCCATAATTTCGGAAGCGTGTGCGCATGTCCAAACTGTAAATGTCATGATCGAGGTTTGTGCGATGACAGACATATCTGATACCATCTATGATCTGCACCCAAGCCCCGCGTCATTTTGAGCTTCCTGAAACTTGCTTGTGGCTCACAAAGTGCAATGTGGTGCCTGGACACGCTGGGGGGGCACAATAAGCAGTGGCTTTACGCTGTTCTTTTCCTGCTCGTGGCACACCCAGACCTGGCCAATCAATGTCCGCAAAACTTTGTCACTTGGTTGACCGCCCAAGGCCGCTCAAGTGCTGGTACGAGTCCAGTCCCACTGTGAAGCAATTATCTGGCAGGACTTGATTTACGTAACACGCTCACCCTGTTGGACTGTGTAGTAACGAATGAGCAACGCCACTACCACGCGCTTTGCCGGGCGGTTTTTGCCCTTCTAGGTACGTTGCAATCTGTCGCGAACCTTGCCCCGCTCAGATTAAGATCTATCCACCAAATGTGTTCGCGTGTTCCTGCCCTTCACCACATCTTTATTTCCACCCCACTTTGTTGTGCAAGCTAGACCACGCTTCAAATCGATTTCGGGTAAGTTGTAGGCAACAATGCGACTTTTTCTACATTGAGGCCCTCCATATGATTTGTCAACCTTACGCAGCGCCACATCAGCTCGTGGCTACCATTGTAGCCACTGCCACCCTGAGGAGCAGCCAAGGCATACTTTGGGCTCTCTTGGACATGGGCTTGAGTACACACGAGTACGCAAACACCGTGGATGAGGCGATGTGGTTTCCCTGCTCTCTGCCTCAGGCGCTCTCTGTCTTGCCTCGCTGGTCTAGATATGCCTGTCATGCGCATGAGGCACATGTGCAGCTGTTCCGCGCGCAAGCATCCCCACCAAGCCTAATACCCACCTCTTTGAACAGAGAGAAGCATGCAACCAGGGCAACACCAGCATCTGCTGACCTCGATGTGTCGCGCATCGACCTGTTCGACGCCACCAGAGCAGACCACGCACTAACTCGGGACACTGCAAAGTGTTATATTCAGCCTGGAGAGTCAGAAGACCAAGATGATGTCCTCGAACGCTCCATGGAAATGGCTCTTCATCGCGTCAAGGTGTGCTCTTGGCCACCCTGATCCCAGGGGATCTGCCCTTGCCGCTTCCGCCTGACCCAGGCATGCTTCTGTGCATGAACCAACAGAACCGTCTCTCATTGCAAGATTCGCGCATGACCGAGTTGGTTGATGTATACGAGGCGCGTCTTCAAGCACAAAGTCACCAATTGACACAGACACAAGCAGCGCTCGAAGCTCAATTGCGGGAACTTCAGGCCACTCAACGGTACGCGAACCACGTGTGACTCAGATCATGGGGCCTGTTAAGCCTCACGTGTGTGTCACCGAGCGCAGGCGCTGCCACGAGATGGGAGAACAATTACAGCACCAAGGCCAACGCGAAACACAGCTTCGGCATCAATTGATGGTAAGTGTACGTCTCTGGTGATGAGACGCTTTCCACAGACAGAGACACCCAGATTGTTGAATGTCGAGTTTGAGGAAGGGAGGAAGGGAGGAAGTGACTTGGCGTGTTGACGTTCTTCCTTTTTTTTCTTTTTTTTCTTTTTTTCTCTTTTTTTTCTTTTTTTCTTTTTTTTTTTTGTTTTTGCTTTCACTTTGATGCTCATGCTGAACGGTTACATATGCAGAAAGCAGATGCGGAGCGCGTGGCCATGGAGCGTGAATTTCAAGAGCAGTATGAGCGTGTTCATCACCTACAGTATGAGCATGAGTGCTTTGTTGCGGAATTGGACCAACTGTCATCTGTTAAGGAACAGCTGCGCGAGGCTGTGAGTGTGGCGCATGGCGAGCGAGCACGGCGTGAGGAGGCTGTGGTCGAGCTTTTGGCCTTGCGGACTCGCTCCAGCGAACGAACTTTGAAGTTGGAGGTGGGATACCTTTCCAGAATTACTCGCATTCATTGTCTCTCCCTTGCTGCAAGACAAATTCTGACTGATGCATTGTCATGTGGCTTTCTTGTCTGCTGAAACCAGGCTTCAGAGAAGCAACTGGCTGAAGCCAAGAACAAGTGTGAAGCCAAGGATCAGCAGGTTAGTTCTGGCAGCCACCGAATCAAACATGGTCAATGGGAAAGCTGACCTGGTATCTGCCGTCGCATGTGTGGCAATGGCAACACGCCGGTCCCGTGTGTTTGTGCCAGCTGGCTGGTCTGCAACAGGAGTTGGCGAGCTTGCGCCTGGAACGTAGCCGTTTGATGGAGCTCGCACAAGGTACTGCTCGGATCTGTCAAACAGGATTTGGTTACACTAGCTGTTGTCAAAATCAAAACGATTTTTCCTGACTCGATTTGCTTGTGCACCATGGCAGGCAAACAGAGCGAGGCCGATAAATTACATCGAGCGCTAGGTGATGAGCAGCGCCAGCGTGCCGAGCTTGACGCTGAGGTTCAGAGCTTGCGTGCATGGCAAACACAACGATTGGCACTGGAGCAAACCCAGCTCACTAAAATGGCTCGGCAGGAGTCGGAATTGGAGGTGCTTGACCCTGGCCTCAATCTTCATGCACTCTTCTACTTGCAGTGCACTTTGACTCACGCGGTTCAATGTGGCTCTGATAGAACCTACGCCAGACCATAACCAAACTCAACCAGGCTAAAGAGGATGCGGAAGCTACTGCGCAGCGAGCAGCCGACATGATTGCCACCATTCATCGTATGTTCAAAGTTGCCTCACGCATTCAATTTGCCCAGTTGGGGCTCTTTTGTGGAACCCATACAAGGATGGCACCACAGAGAAATAGGGGAGAGGCACACCTGACGTTGTTGATAATCGTTTTGAAGCTTTGATTCTTTTTGTTGCTGCTGTTGTTGTTGAGTTGCTTGTTCGGCTTGTTCTTCATGTTCTTGATCTTCTTTCGGTTCATATTTCTTGGGATTGTTGGTTGTCTTGTTTGGCGTCTTGCTTGCCTGCTTCTTCTTGTCGTCGTTTTGATTTTTCATTTTATTTTTTTATTTCTTTTCCTTTTGGAAAAGGCATGTTCGTCTTGCCGTGGCAGCGCCAGAATCTTTCTGCTCGCTTTTGACTGCTTGAATGCAGCCGAGACCGATGGCGTCTCGGTTTCAGCGTATTCTTGATGTGAGCTGATATTGCGCGCCCCTTGGCCTTGCTAACACGTAGAAATGAGTAGCAACCGGATGTGAAAGAATATGGCTCACTACTGGCTCGAAGGGGTCTCGTCGAAGAAGAGTCCCATATGCTCCTTCTTGGAACTTTCAACCTTGGCTGCACTGTCGTCGCCGTCAAAGTCATATTCGGCAAGGCGGCTGCGTGTCTATGTGGGAAATGCGAACATAAGTGATACACGGTCGAATGAGCTGCTCGTGATAGCGCCGGCTTCATAATTGCCCGCTATCTTTCAGATCGACCTACCGTCTTTTGGCGGTTGCGAAGCCGAAGCTGAGATCGCGCTGCTCCGCTGGCACTGTGCGCATTGGTAGCATTGGCAGGGGAGCGAATGCGCGCTGCCCGAGTGGTGTGAGGCGTGGCAAAGGCACGCGGGCGAAGAGCTGAGCTGCGTGCGCGCGTGGTCGTGGCTGCCTGCTTGCTGGCCGGTGTTTTGGTCATGGGGGTACGAGCTGTGGGTGTCTTGGCTGTGGGAGTATTGGTCCAGCCAGGGCGAGTTGATGACGCAACCGTTGGTGGGCTGGACGGCTGCACTGCCATAGACTCTTGACGATTGCTGCGCGCTGCTTGCTTTTCCAAGTGCGCAATCTGCCGCACGGACGAGAGGCAATGAGGTTTTGAGGATGCGAACAAGGGGAAGGTGGTGATTCCCAAGATGGATTGCTGCTGCATACCTTGCTGTACGCGCTCTTCAAGCCTTCTTGCAGCACCTTGGTGCGTTCGTGTGCTTTCTCCAATTCTGCCTGGCATTGCTCGAGCTGGTTTTGTGTAGCAGCACAGACGCAGGCGGCGCGAATCTGCTTCGTTTCTTCGTGTGCACGCTGGAGCTTCGCTCGCTCGGCATCAAGCTCCGCTTGCAGCGACTGGTAGGCGTCATTGGCCTCTTCGCGCTGTTTGGAGGACTGGTTTTTGACCATGTCAAGCTCAGCGTCAGCCTTGCACTTGGCAGCTTCCAGGGTTTGCAGGGTGTCCTGCAGCTTTTTGACACACTTTTGATCCTCGGCTTGACGCGCTGCGCGCGTGGTAGAGAAAGTGCTGTGCGTGAGTGAAATAATTAAGCAAGTTGTTCATATGTCATGACATGGTGCTTAAATCAACGACAGTCCCTGCTCCCTCTAATAAGTACCTTGGGTCAGTTGCAATTGTTCTTCAAGGGCTTTGCTCTTGTCGTCGACCTCCTGGAGTTTGTCCGCCGAGGCTTTGATTACTTGTTGTGCTTCCTGGAGAGCACGCTCTGCCGAACCACAAAGATGTTGTCAATGGTCGCACGAAAGCAAGGGTAAACAAAAAGACTGATTCGCGCAGGTAGCGATGGCACAAACCGGAGGATGAAATTTCATCTGCTTTTTCGCGGGCTGCGGCTTCATGTGTGGCAATGGCCCTTTTCAAGTCTTCGTGCTCTACCACCAGCTTGTCATGTGCAACATTCAATGCCTCGAGTGTCGCCCCTAAGCGTGCCTCAGTAGCCTGCGCCTCGCTCTGCATGTTCACCAAGGTGGCCTGATGTTCTGCGAGCAATTGATCTTTCTCTGTGCGCAGAACTATGCAAGCGTGCAAGCAGGCAGGTTGAGTATTTTTTCCCTTTTTTCTTCGTATTTTTCTTGGTTTTTTTTTTTTTTTTTTTTAATGATACCTTGCAGAGTCTGAGCAAGAATGCCATACGTTTGTGACAAAGCGAGCGGATGGCATGACTTGACGTACTTGAGTTTTCCTCAGCTTGGGCATCTCGCTCTTTGATGCATGTCTCCAGTTTTTGTTTCCAGTCGGCCACTTGTGCTTCCGAGTCAAGCAGAAACTGCTCCTTTTGCTTCATCTCCTCGAGAACTTGAGACTTGGACGCCTCCAACTCGCTTTTGGCGAGCTCAAGCAGCTCAATCTCTTGCCCTACAACGTGTCAGAGCAGAGCAACAGCAACTTATCATTGGTGCCAAAGCAAATTCTTAAAGAATTAGAAACCAAAAAAAAGAAATCAAAAACAGAAGAGAGTTGAGGTGAAGCCACTCTATGATACTTAGCTTACGCAGTTTGGCTGCAGTGGTACGCTGAAGCACACCCTCCTCCTCGAGTCGGGCTTGTGTTTCTGCTTGCTCTTGCAAGCGCTGCTCGAGCTGCACACGCTCGGCAGCAGAGGCCTCAATCGAGGCTTGCCGTGCCTGCACTTCAGCTTCAGCCGTCCTTAGTTGATCTAACAATGACAAAAGATTGATGAACGCGCCATGGCGTACATCAGCAGCAGGTCAGTAGGGCTCGACAGCTTCGACTTAGCATTCGGTGGTGACAGACCGACGGTTGCTTCGTGGCGCTCTGCCCAAGCCTTGACATCCTGGACCAGGCGACTGTTATCCACTGAGAGCCGGCTGGCCTCATGCTGACTCGTATTCAAGTCGAGGGCCATGGCACTGAGTTTGTTGCGAGCTGCTTGCAGCTCAGCGTCCAAATCTGCCTCGCGCCCTAGAAGTCACGTCCGAGACGAACACTGATGAGGTTGAGTAGGGAATGTTCGCGCCCCAATATCACATCAGAAGCAAAGCAAGAAGGTGTCGATCCGATGGCATGCCAAACTGAGAGGTGATCCCATGAGGGCACGATACAGACGTTGAAGGGCTGTCATGTCTCCACTTATAGCTTCAAGCTGGCTTTCGAGGTTGGCACGCGTTTGAATCACGCGCTCGGCGAGCTGGGCGCTGGTAGCCACCTCTTTCTGCACCAACTGAAGTTGTTGGCACGCTTCTTCATGCTTCTCCTCGACTGTTTTGAGCTAAGCACGGTTAAACAAGCGCGGATAGGCGACATGGATGAAATGGCGTACCCCCCCCGGCAATAGAGGTATGCATATTTGCTGTCAGGTTTTACGAATGTCGTCGTCCAGTAGGCTCGACTATGATAACGAAAGAGCGGATATGACGCCTGCAGTTACCTTCTCAGTCAGGTTGGTCAGCTGGGCATCTCGAGTTTCCAGGGCCACGGTGAGGGTATCTCGATGAGCCTAGTTTCAACCAAGCCCAGACAAGTTGTGGGGGGGCAGGGCCGGGGAGAGGAGAGGGGGCGGAAGTGAAATCGGGGCCATCACATGAGAGAGAGTCATGGGCAAGAAGTTTATTTTTATTTTTTTTTTTTTGGAGGGGGGGGGGGAATAGGGCTTCACCGTCACTTGGAGGAGATTGCGTTGCAGTGTCTTGGTTTGCTGCTCCTGCTCCTGCGCCACAGTCTGCCACTTGTCAGCCACGCCCTGAAGGACGTTTTTTTCTTGGAGCAAGTCCTGAATTTGCGATTGGATGCGGGCCGAAATGCTTTTGCCTTGCCCCACTCGCTGGTGCTGGTGCTGGGCACCACCTGCCAACGCTGTGGCCATGTTGCCTGTGTTGTGTCTCAAGGCAGACCCAACAACCCGCCGCCTAATGATGTTCAGGTTGCTCTGCGTTTCGCCGCCGCCACCGTCAAATGCTTGAACAACCTTTGCCCGATCAGTGGAAATGGATCTTCCAACCAAACACAAGCGTCACCATCACAGAGACGCGCAGAAAATTGTCGACAAACATTGCGTAAAATTCCCGCCAAAAACTGTCAGATGATTGAGGCTTGGAACTCAGATATCCTCACTCCGTTCGCAACAGTATCTGACATTCGCATGTGTGTGCGGGAGAGGGAAGGGAGAGCACGCGGCTCACGTTCTGTGTGTGTGTGTATGTGCGTGTGTGTGTGTTCGCTGCATTTCTCTCGGCTTTGGCAGCGCAAGCGGGGGTGTCTGGTGGATTGTCCAGTCTTGTCTTGCTAGCGTTGGTGAGTGCTTTTGCATGGGTTGCTGGTTGAGCGTGTAACGTGGCGTGTCTTGAGCAGGGGGCAGTCTGAGCTTTTGATGGGAGATGGTGTTGCTGTACCTGCTTTGCAACACGTGTGCGTTGTGCATTCGCTCGGACCAGCCTGGGCACTCACCCTTCCTCTCGCTCTTCGATGGCATCTTTGTGAATTTTTGGCGGTGTGCACTAGGCATCTCAAGTGTTTGCGCTCCAAGGAAAAAAAAATCAAAACACCAGAGAGATGGTGAAGAAGAAAGTGGACTCGCGGGTCCGCACACTCATTGAGAACGGCGTGCATAATGGCCATCGGTCCATGTTTGTCCTCGTCGGCGACAACGGTCGTGACCAGGTACGGTCGGCGCGAGTCTTTTATCATGGCTGCTGTGCTTTGAATTGTACCCGTCCTCGTGTCTTGCGCACTGCCCGTATCATAAAGTCATGTTACTGACATTGGTGTGTTGCGATAGGTTGTCAACCTCCACCACATGCTCTCCAAGGCTTCTATCAAGGCCCGTCCCTCAGTTCTGTGGTGCTACAAAAAGGAGCTCGGCTTCACCACGTGCGTACAATGAGCAATCATGGGATGCCACCGCATCAGCTGCTGTATGGTGTCTACTCAGCGTTGCTTCTCTGTTGGATGGCATGCACACATTCATGACGCTCTCAATTCTAGGCACAAGAAGAAGCGCATGCAGGAGCTGAAGAAAAAGATCAAATCAGGCTTGATTGATCCGGACCGTGGGGACCCTTTTGATCTTTTCATTGCCTCAACCGACATTCGTTATTGCTACTACTCTGATACTCACAAGATTCTGGGTAGCACGTATGGCATGCTTGTCCTGCAAGACTTTGAGGTGCGCCCTATTGGTTTCAAAGCGATCATTGGATACCTGATGCGACTAGTCCACAGCGCTCATCGTCACCGGCCGGCGGCATGCTTGGGGGAATGGGGCGCCTAGGCCGTTACTCCCAATTTGTTGGCTCGAACGATCGAAACTGTCGAGGGAGGCGGCGTAGTTGTGCTCCTGTTGCGTTCCGTCAAGTCCCTGCAACAGCTGTACACCATGACCATGGTACGTACTTTGAGTGACTGCGTGGGAATGGGCTTTTGCCAGCGATGCGAGTTGTCCTCATGAATTTCCTTACAATGCCCTGCTGCTTGCAACCACAGGACGTGCACTCTCGGTACCGCACCGAAGCCCACCAGCACGTGGTGCCCCGATTCAATGAGCGCTTCCTGTTGTCGCTCAAGGCCATGCCCACCTGCTTGATGCTTGACGACCAGCTGGACATCATTCCTTGGGCCCGCCAAACGCTGCGCATCGAGCCTGCACCCCGCCACGAGGAGAGCGTGGATCCAAATGAGACCGAGCTCAAGGAGCTCAAGCAATCTTTGGCCGGTTCGTCTGGATGGAGCCAGCTTTGCGTGGGCACTGACGACCGCTCTGTAGCTTTGGTCCAGCCAGAGCGCACACGTTTATTCACGTGTGAACACTCGTGCCGTTTGCTGCCTATAGACACCCAGCCCGCGGGGTCCCTGGTCGCCCGTGCTCGCACGCTTGATCAGGCTGCCGCTCTTCTCAAGTTTGTTGAGGCAATTTCGGAGAAGACGCTTCGCAGTACCCTGACCCTTACTGCGGCGCGTGGTCGTGGCAAGTCTGCCACACTTGGCCTCAGTATTGCGGCCGCTATTGCCTATGGGTGCGCCTTTTGTGTTTCCATCTCTCTTCTTTCGGCGTCCTTTGCCCACCTCGCACTTTCACGCTTGCCTTCTTACCACGTTGTCTTATCGCTCGATCTATTGATGTTGGTGCGGGTGCTGGACACGTTCTTTTTTGCAGCTACTCAAACATTTTCGTCACCTCGCCGACACCAGAGAACTTGAAAACGGTCTTTGAATTTGTCTTCAAAGGCTTTGATGCTCTCAACTACCAGGTATCGTTGCATACGTGATTGCGAACTATGCTTCTGCGAACCCCATGGGTTGTTTCTTTCAAACCCTCTTGGTCGCCATTCCTAACATTGAGCTTGCTATGTAGGAGCATGCCGATTACGAAATTGTGCAATCGACCAACCCCGACTTCAACAAGGCCATCGTGCGCGTTAATGTGTTCACAAAGGAGCATCGTCAAACGATCCAGGTTTAGCCTCATGTTCCTTGTGCTCCTTGCTTGCTGCCAGTGGAAGGCGTGTCGATGCAGTGTTCTCACCATTTGCTTGGGCTGTGATTGTGCTCGTGACCACGCACAGTACATTCAACCACAAGATGCAGTGAAGCTTGGTCAAGCCGAGCTCGTCGTGATTGATGAGGCGGCAGCCATTCCTCTTCCTCTCGTCAAGGAACTGATTGGCCCATACCTCGTCTTCATGGCCTCCACCGTCAACGGGTACCAGCTTGCCACTTGCATAAAGCTATCAGCAGCCAGCGTCAAGGGCCAGCTTGTGTCATGATGTCCGGCCGCAATCTCATGGAGACGTTGTGACTCTTAGCTATGAGGGTACCGGACGCTCCCTTTCACTCAAGCTGATCAATCAATTGCGCAAGGAAAGCGCCCCGGTACGTTGGTCAGGCAGTATCTGCTTTCAACTTGCCCGCCCGAGCAAGTTGATCCCTTGTTTTGAATGTCAAACTAACTTCTCCTTCCTTCTCCACCATCCCCATCTGGAACACATGCGCCAGGCTGCACGTGATAACAGCGCCAGCAGCCGTCATCTGCGAGAGCTGACTTTGGACATTCCCATCCGGTTCGTCATTGTTTTGTGGATGTACAAGTGTAGCTCCTCAGAGCGCGATTTTTTTTTTTCTTTGCCTTATTCAAGCGGTGCCTCGACTCGATATTTGCTCATTTCCTTTTCAACCCAACTTTTTCACAACCCTCTATGGTTCAGTTATCGCGCCAACGACCCTGTGGAAAAGTGGCTGAATGGCCTGTTGTGTCTTGATGCCACGTTGGGCGATGCCACGACGACAGCAAGTCCCCATCCCAGCAAGTGCGACCTTTACTCGGTCGAGCGGGATGCACTCTTCTCTTACAACAAGGTGAGTGCCTCTGATTCATGGCGTGGGTGGTATTGGCTTTGGCAAATCACTCTCCTTTGAGCTCGGCTTTGAAATTATCATCAGGCTCACGCGTCGCATGTGCCCATGCTCCTCTCGGTGATTGCAGGTTTCAGAACTTTTTCTGCAGCGGCTGATGGCCCTCTACGTGGCATCGCACTATAAGGTCAGCCCCCCGCACTTGCCATCTCCCCTTTGCTTCTCTGGCTGTCAGCAGCTCAAAGCTCATGGCGAATGTTTGGTAACCTCAAATTTCGTGCAGAACACGCCCAACGATTTGCAAATGCTTAGCGACGCCCCCGCGCATCGCATCTTCTGCCTCTTGGGCCCCATCAACCCAAAGGCCGGTGCATTGCCCGAGATTCTTTGCGTCGTGCAGGTGCGGTCCCTTCGATGTTGATGGGCGAAAGGCGTAAAAGGAGCATGTGGTCGAGAGTATGAGGATCTGACCGACCTCACATCTTTGTATGCCGATCAACACATAGGTGGCGCTCGAAGGTGAAATTAGCGCGGAAAGCTTGCGCGCCTCTCTCCAGCAAGGCGTCTCGCAATCAGGAGATTTGATTCCATGGACGCTCTCTCAGCAATACCAAGACAACGACTTTGGCAAGCTGTCTGGCGCGCGAATCGTGCGCATTGCCACTCATCCTGGTTGGTTCTTTCAAATGGGCGTTGGCGATTTAATTTGCGGGGGGGTTGCCCCTGTGGATGGCACTCACCCTAGAGATCAGAGGGACGTGCTCGTGAGCATAAACTTTGCTCAAATTGTACCTTTGCTGTGCCATCATCAGATTATCAGGGCATGGGCTACGGTCGTCGAGCCATCGACCAACTGCGTGCTTTCTACAATGGAGAAATTCAAAGGTTTGTCTACCAGTCTTGATGTTGGACACGGCCATAAATGGAAAACGGGCTCTCGTATTGACTGTGTGTGTTCTGGGACAGTTTGGACGAGGCGCCTCAGGCTGCACCTCAGCGCGAGCGTGAGGAAATGCGCGAGCTGGCACCACGCACGACGCTGCCTCCTCTGCTGCTCAAACTCAATGAGGTTCCTCCGGAGCGCCTCGACTACCTGGGTGTTTCCTTTGGCGCGACGCCAGAGTTGTACAAGTTTTGGAAGAAATGCGAATTTGCGCCCGTATATTTGCGTCAAACCCAGGTCTGTCACACTGCTGGTTACCTTTTCTTTGTCTTTCTCTTTTCTTTCTTTCTTTTTTCTTTTTTCCGATTCATTTTTTTTTTTTTTTTTTGACGTGGCACATGGCATGTGGTTGCAGAACAACTTGACGGGTGAACACACATGTATCATGTTGTCACCCCTGAACACGGCTGCCGCCGCGCCTGAATGGCTGGCGGAGTTTTGGAAGGACTTTCAACGTCGCTTCACTGCGCTTCTGCCGAGTGCCTTCAAGGTGGGGTTTGGTGCCTCTTCTTGACTCCTTCCTTTCAGCACGTCAGGCATTCATTTCAATTTATGACTTCCTGCGCTTCACCACAGAATCTGGCCCCTGTCTTGGCCTTGGGCATCTTGGAGCCCTCGGGTCCCGTGAAAGACCAGCGGCAGGGCGGTGGGTATCTTTGTTTCTCTCAACTCCCGTTTTTTATATTTACTTTGGCACCAGCACGAAACGTCACACTTGCCCACACCCTGACTCTCAACCTTTCTCGGGTTGATGTTTTATTGTGGCTCGTGATTATCTTGCAGGCATCTTGAGTGCGACTGAGCTGTTGATGTACTTTAGCACCTATGATCTGAAGCGCTTGACGGCCTATACGAACAATTTGGTGGATTATCACGTCATCCTCGATCTTCTGCCCAAGCGTAAGATTTTGTACGCCGCTTGGTAGATCCGCGTTAGGCTTGCAGGTCATCTCACGTGGCAGCAACATTCTGTTGGCTTTAAATCCGCCCACTCGCATTCGTGTAGTGGCTCAACTTTACTTTGCGGGTCGGCTCGACGTTTCACTCACGGCCTTGCAGAAGGTTATTCTGCTTTGCCTTGGCCTGCAAGCAAAGGTTCGTCGCATCACTTTTATGATAGTACTTCTTGCTTTCCTGATTCATCAAGAGGCAACACGGCTGCAAACGTGCAAAATCCATTTCCACTGCCTGCTCATGGTCATGCTGGCTTCGGTTAGTCTGTGGAGGACATTGAGCGTGAATTGGCTGGCCCTACGGCATCGCACATCATGGGTCTTTTCTCCCAGATGATGCGTCGCTGGGTGAAACACATCACTGACGTACGTCGAGCGGC